TTTCTTTGACATCATCAAAATCCTTTACATACGTTCTTCCACACTATTTTTTAATTTCTTAAAGTAAAAGCTATTTATCGATTTTAAAATCTTCATTAGGAATCAAAAATAGTGATTTTAGATTTTAGGAAGATGAAGATTAAAAAAAAATATTTTATAAAAACTAAAATTAGAATTTACTAATTTTAAAAGGAACAAAAATATTTTACACAAATAAAAAATAATATTTATAAATTTTAGAAGAATAAAAAATAAAAAAAAATCTTACAAAAACTAAAATCAAAATTTACTTATTTTATAAGGACTAAAAATATATTTAAATATTTTTTAATTATATGTTTTACTTTCAACACATTAAACATTGTTACTTAAATTTTCTCATGTCCACTGCAATTTTAGGCAACAAAAAGGTTTAGGATGGAATAAGAGGATTTTTTCACATTTTTTTAGATATTTATATTTTTTTATTATATATTAATTTTTTTCAACCATATATTTTTTAAGGATTATATATGTATATATATTCACTTTATCCATAATAATTATCATCTTATTTTGTAACCATTTTTGATTAAAATTATTTTGACTTTTTTTTTTCTAATTATACACAATTTTACTTAATTTACATATTGTAACTTTTATCCTTTTTATTTTTATTTTATATTATATTAATTTTAAACAAAATACATAGAGGTACAAAGTTAATCCTACTAATAGAAAATAAAGGACAAAAGAATGAGAGTCAAGATTAACATAATTTTATCTTTAAAAATTCATCTATATATCTAACAATACATAAGGTGAGAAAATATTGTAATTAATATACATAATACATTATTTATCAAACTAGTTGTAGAATAATTTTTTTTTATGCGAGGTAGTATATAGTAACTTTTATTTATTATATTAAATAAATAAATCGATTAGCATAAATTGATCCACAGGACCACAACTTTGCAGCCTTTACAACCCTATATCACTTTGATTTTCGTGTCTTTATATATATTTATTTTTTAAAATACATTTTTCTAAGAAAAAGTGGGAATAACGTAGAAAACCACATGCAGTTAAAGAGTAATAATGGTTGAATATAAATTGTGCTATTTTTATTTAATGAAACATAATAGTGAGACGAAGAGAATTTGTAGGACGGATAAAAATATCTAAAAAGAACTAGAGATGAAAGGTAGTTATCAAAATTTCTACGGCTTTAGATATAGGTATAAATATACAGATAAAAAACTAAAAAAAAATAAAATAACAGACTTAAAAAGTTAAGATGATAATGTTTAGTTTCTAAAAGAAAGTTTCTAGTTAATTACTAATAAATTCTTAATTCAAATGTATATCATTTGAACTTCGTGCCTGTGCTAGCTTATAGCATACGACATTCTCAACCTAGTCATTTTTATTTGGTATAAGGTATGTGATTATAACAAATTAAGACTTTCTTAATTTGGTCATTTTGGTACATGAACAGGACTAAAAATCTAAACTAAAAACTCTAAAAATTTTGTATCCGCCGATAAATCAATAAGCAAAGCAAAATGGATTCAAGAAGGAGGATTTGAAAAGATAACAATTCTATCATGCAAATTATGATCGTGTTTAGCTAATAGATCTGCAACTTGGTCATTTCCTTTAATTATAAGTGAAACATGAATGTTCCTTATCCGCTCTAATTACCAAGAGTACTATTTTCTCACGTACTCTGCTTGCTTGGATATGTTGCGTTTCAAGTTTAGTTTAATATTTTTTTTTTAATTTTTTTCTAGGTATTTGATAGCCAATACAACAATACTTTGTTTTATATTAGCCTCCTTGCCAATTCCCACATTGAAGTAAATTTCAAGGTGGTTAATGTTATATAGCCAAAAATTTTAAATTTATAACCTTTTTTTATCCTAATTTTCAATTGCACTAATTTTTTTTTACTGTCGACATTTTTAACTTAATTTTCGACCTCATTATATGGATATGCCTTTTTAGTAATACACGACTGATATTCTAGATTTGGTATACCGCATAAGGGATATATATTAAGGAGTAACAGAAAAAATAAGAATAAATTCTACTATCAAGTGTGTACTACAAAAAAAATAAACATAAACTACTCGGAGTATACATTAATTTTGGTAACTTCTACCACTATTTTTTTTATATTTTTTTTATATTAATTAATAGAATGACCTTTGGTTTGCTACCAATTCACCATAGTTTTGGTGAAAGAAAAAACACTTCATTTTTTATTCACATTATATCCTTTTCATGAACATCAATCTCATGCCTCAAAGATGAAAACCTTTCATGGATCCATATCCATCAACACCCACTCTTCCTTAACCATATCCCCTAACATATCTCTTGAAGGAGACAATAATAGACATAGGAAGCATTGTGGGAGTGATTGGGCGACACAAGCAATTCTATGCCACCAAATATATTGTCACGAATAATAAATGGCATCGTATTCCTAGGGCATACGATACAACCTATTATCAATCTCCTTCTTAGGAAAGAACTTTTGCGCTTTTAAGTGATTTTGCAATTGCAACTCATGCAATGTTGGGGGTTGGTAACCACCACTGTTATTTGGAATGGGAATATTGAGAGATACACTAATAAGATTGGGTTTATCCATTCTCCTAGGGTCCTTGCGTTTGTCAGTAACCTTTTCCCCTTTTTAGTAAATCCTGTAATTCAATCTGAAACTTAATTAGATAGTGCGGGACTACCTTTGTGCTTTTTATGAAGAATTTTTTTGGGACACTAAGTTTTGCAATTATTATAAATAAATCGTAGGGACAAACCATATTTAATGTTAAAATTTATCTTTTATGACATATTTGTAGTCATGACTAATAATATATTACTTTGTCAGAAGCTATTTATCTTTTATGACATATTTGTAGTCATGACCAATAATATGTTGTTTTGTCATAAAGTATTTTTCAAGTTTTAATGAAAATTCTTATTGAATAAGGAAAACTTAAAAGAGAGATGAAAATTTCACAAAAAAATATTATTTTCAAAGAAGTTGTGTTATTTCAAACTCGAGAGTTACTATTGTTTTTCTATTTATATATGATATTCATGGATTTACCTTATTATTTGATAATATAAAGACTAAAATTTATTTTATATTTAATATATATATATAT